CATGTTGTTCTTACCTTGCTGCTTTATGTTTAATTATTAGTTTGTCTAATACATTTAGATATAATTGAGGTGTTTTTTTTAATCATGCTTAAAAAAAAAGCTCATGTGATATCATGGGTTGTGCATGGAGGGAGTAGGCAGGATTTAAAGCCCTGCATCACTACTGGTCCCAAAAATATAACATGGCAGCTCCCTAATCCAAGTCCTGCTGGCTCCAACAACATGAGAAATCGGAGACCCTTGGTCTAGTACTGTAACATATGCCGATGAGTTTTGCAGCTCCTCTTCGACGCTATTTGAGTGTGATTTTTATATGATTAGTGTTACAATAATCCTGCAAATCAGGATTGCATCATGCAATATCTTTACTATTACAGATTGTCATCAACTGCCTATAATTTTGCAAAAAATAATATATAATTTGTAATTGTAATTACATTAAATATAGCATTATATAATACAAAAACAGCCTTATTGGTCAAAAACTTTCATCTTTTTTTTAATTATTATCAATCAAACAAACCCAGAATGTATTAAAATTGAATGATTTTTCTCGGTATAAAGGGAAATCCATTTATTTTAAGTTCTTAAAAATATCTCCAGCCTTGTAATGACCATGGCTCCTGCACAGGCCTGATGTTCTGCAACAGCAGTCAGTCAAGCAGCGATACCTTCCATGCAGCTTCTGTAAATAAGGGCTCAGAAATGTGCCACTGGGAGGTTTTATTGGAACCACTGCACAGTGAAAAGCGCAAGCCTCTTATAAATGTGTTTATAAGAGAGTTTGCTGAACTAAAAGTGGTTCTGAACATGTTAATTCTTCAGACTGATAAGACTTCCTTGTTAAAGCCTTTACATCAGTTTGCAGTAATGGCCCAAACATAAACCCGTCCTCCTTCTAATTACAGGAGGAGGAATGTGCTCATGGTCTTTTTGCTCCTCTGGCGGAGGCGACAAGCTCTAAATAGTGAACCCCACACACTTGAAATCAGATTCCTTGCTCCATGGGAGCCCCCTTCTCTCCCTTATGGGCTGTCAATAACCCTCCACTGACCTTGTGAAAACACATTGACTATAGTGAGCTTGGCTGACTGTAACACAACCCACGTCCTGCTTCTGTTTCAATTCATCTGAGCAGGAGACAGACTTTAAAAAAAAAATAAAAAAACAGCCCAGAGGTGGCTATGGAGTCAAGTTTCAGTTCTTTAAACAAGAAAAAAGGAGACATTAATATAATAAAGCTTGGGCATACATGAAGGAGTGTGAGAGGGTGCAGAAGATGCTCACAGTGTCTCCCCTTGCAGTGATTTGATTTTTTACTCTCACGTGTCTCCGTTCCATTAATTCACCAACACATCCTCACCCAGGCTGAGCAGAAGTTGTGATTCTGTGGTTTAAAGCTCGCCACTGTCGCGCCACAGTGCAGTGATTTCGCCCACGAGGCATCCCACCAAATTCAGCGTGGAAACATTGCACCAAGCAGATGCACCACTCCTCATCAACACACACACAGGGCGCGCGCGCCTACACACAGGCGCGCGCGCGCACACACATGCACTATAATGCAGTCTGCATAATGATGATGATGATGATGTGCAAAAAAAAAAAAGCATACCTGGTTTTTATGCCGAGTTCCATCTTCGAGTTCAGAAGAGCTGTTCATGATTCCCCATCGGTCATTTACCATCCCACGGAGAAGAACGTGCGCGTGAGATCTGCCTGCTTGTTCCAGGCGACAGAGAATACCAGTATTTTTTATTTATTTATATATATATATATATATATATATATATATATTTATTTATTGTAACCTTTTCTCTACTGATTCAGCCTATATACTCCATGGGATAATTGGGAGGTTAAGAACACATCGGATAAATGGGGGAGGAGGGGACAAGTTCAGCGCAAACTGCGCACCAAAACCCGCAACTTCAGTTTCTTCCCAGAGTTTCCTCAGCATCCATTCCACTTATTAAAACGCATGTTTGCTCTCCGCTCCGGGGATGTTCAACTTGATTCCCAAATACATCAAAATGACACGAAAAGAACAAAAAAGAAAGAAAGAAGAAGAAGAAAAAAAGAACGATCCAAGAGCGCAGGTTTTCTTTTACACTAGAATAAAAAAAAAAATTAAAAAATTAAAAAAAAAAAAGATCTTTAAAACATCCTCCAGTACCCAGACTGCTAAATGCAGCCTGCTCCGTTTTGTCCATCCATATGACGACAGTTCGTAAAGAGAACCGGGACAGGTGAGGACAGGACGGGATGGAGAGCAGAAACCGTCCTTTTCTCTCTCCACTTAGTTGCGCGGCAGAAACCGTCCAAGCCGAGGCGGTGGAGGATAAAAACCTCCCTCCAGTCTCCTCGCGCCAGGCTCTTCTGCCTGCTGCCTTGGATGAGGCGGGTGTGAGGGGGGGCGAGGGATTAACGCGAGCCGCGCGGGGCGCTCCGATCCTCCGGCTGTCAATTAGCGGCTCTCCTCCGTGTGCGCGACGCGCTCCGAGGCGGCGCTGCTTCCCTGCACCGCCCTGGCAACCCCCACCCACCACAGCCCCTCCACTGCTGGACCACTGACTCACCGCCGCACCGCAGACCCTCCTGCTCTGCAACACAGGTGGATGCAGGGATTTCAGACTCTGTCGGGATGTGAACAGAAAGACGGATGTGGCCACCCGGGTGGTGTTGGGGGAGTCTCAGGCAGAGGATGCTTGATGAAGCGTGGGGAGCAAAGGATTAGTGCTCTAAATGTTTTGAGAGCCACCTTTTCACGAGTTAATTAACTTAAGACGAGATTTAGACATCAGGTATAAAAGACCAGTTTAAAGGGAAAGTTCGGGCATTTAGTGTTGACGTTTGTGGAAGCGTTATGCATAGTCAGTATCTTACCTGTTATACATAGTGTTTTGGTCAACCTCAGGCTCACATGAGGATGTCGTCTTCTCAAAACACTCTTTTTGTATTTATTGTGTCTAAAACATTATTTTAAAAACATGTTTTTTATGCACACAGAAACAGAAGAAAAAAAAAAGTCTGGATTCTGTAGTAACCACTCCAGATCTGTGTAATACTGCCATAAAAAAAACATACCGGAAACAGAAACTGAGACTTACACGAGATGCTCCAAACTGTAAACACAAGAAACAAAGACAGATGGTAAAAACGGAATGACTGAAACTGGAAAAAAAAAAATAATAATGGGAGGAAGATCTTTCAGTTATCAGGCTCCTCTCTTGTGGAACCAACTTCCAGTTTCTGTCCATGAGGCTGACACATTGTCCAGTTTTAAAACTGGGCTTAAAACTTTCCTTTTTGATAAATCCTATAGCTAGGGCTGGCTTGGGTTTCCTGAGCTATCCCTTAGGCTTAGACTGCTGGAGGACAAACTGACCACATGTCTTCACTCTGCTGCTCTTTCTGCTCAACCTGTTTGTATTTGTAATTGGGGACTTCCATTGCAATGCATGAAGGCACCTATTATTCTACACTTAATAAGCTTTTGTTTATTTATTTATTTAGTTCCGTCACCATTAATGCAGCCTGAACCGCAACATATACCCCCACCAAAAAGACCATCTCGCTCTTGAGATTAGGGCTACTTTTATATGCAATCGGAGTTACCATGGGACATATTTTGCTAACAAAGATGCCATACTTCCTCTTAGGAAACGAATGGGAGAACACTACTCACATTAACTGCATCTGTCAAGTTACATGACTTAGAGTGTAGAGGCCCTTGAAGAAAACAGAAACTCACTCTTGGATAAGTTTGAAACTCACAGAAAATAATCATCAGATGAATGTCTAGAACTGATTAATGTTTGAAGCCATTTTGATTCAAGATGGCTGCCACAGCTACCTCAGCAAACACAAAATTGACTGAACCTCAGTCATTATTTGTGATATTGAGCTGAAATTTATTATGGTTGCAGCTGAGAGCGAGTTGTTATTCATTCATAATGCAAATCAAATATCCACAATGGCCGCCTTAGCGAAAAGAGAACACAAAAAAAAAAGATAACTCGGCCATTTTTAGAGCGATTCAGCTGAAATTTGGTATAGTGGTAGCTGAGAAAGATCCCTATCACATACTGAATCCAAATAAAAATAATACAAGATGGCCGACTTAGCTAAAAAGAAAAAAAATACAATAATTCAACCATTTTTAGAGCTAATCAGCTGAAATTTGGTATGCTGGTAGCTGAGAGTGAACCCTAACACGTAGTACTGTCAAATCAAGTACTTCAATCAGCAGCAGTCTGGCAGTTTTCCTCCAAGTTTCTCCAGGAACTTTCTGGTTATTTTTTTCTATCTTTGACATGTGTTTTTGTTGTTCAGGTACACCTGCCCCTACATCTGGACCTGCCATTCTGTGTTTGTTTACCTCTCCTCCCTGTCCTCTCAAACCCAGCCATTCAAAGCAGATGGCCACTCGTCCTGAGCCTGGTTCTGCTGGAGGTTTATTACTTTTACAAGTTTTTTCTTTCCACTGTTGCCTTTGTGCTTGCTCTGGATGGGAGACTGTGACAAAGTCAAGATTCAACGAGTCTGCTGGCCTCCTTAGATAGAGAACTTTACTAAGAGGCTTTTCGATGTATGTGGATGTTTCTGTAAAGTGCCCTGAGACAACTTTGTTGTGATATGATGCTAAATAAATAAACTGAATTCAATTGAATTGAAAACTGGTGATGAAGTATAATGTCTGCTTTGCGTCACATACTGACTGAGAGCCAAGTTGGGTCAAACTCACAAGCAAAATTAACAGTTTTATGCATAATATCCAGCAAGGAATGACGAGGTTATAACATAATATAATGGTCTTTTAAAAACCTTATAATGTTCAAAACACACAATGGTTTATTATTTATATATGTTGTTCTTGTAAAAATTCAGTTTTCATTTGAATGCAAAGCAGAAAATGTTCTTTTTTTTCTTTATAATAAATTGGAGCACTAAAATAAACTGGAGTGCCTGCTTTTTTCCTGGTCCCCATCTTAAATAAAAAAAGAGGTTTGGAATTGAGGCATTAAAAATAACATGTTTTGACTGTGTAAAATTAATTTCTATATGTCTGTTTTTTTTTTCTTAATTTCTCTCCCATTCTGGTCAGTTATGATATTGTGATGTCCTTTAACCCCAAAAGGAAGAATCAGGTAAAGATAATGGATGGATATTTAGTGACTTCTGGTACAATTGCCACTTTCTTTACCACGAAGTTGGCAAGTTTTGGGCTAAATCTTGAGTCAAGTACTAAACTGACATAAAAATAATAGACCAAGAGCCTTTGCTTCTTTCCACTGTTCAAAATTCAAGCCAATACTTCTCATAATCCTGTTTGCCAAGTCAAATTTATTTATAAAGCACATTTAAAAACAGCAGCAGTTACCAAAGT